GTACTGTACACAGGAGAGCTGTTACCCTTCCCTTTATAGTTATGACAAGGGGCGCCTCCCGACTACTACCAGCCATGAGTGCAAATGGTCAAATACATGAACACCTTACTGAATGCCATCAGCGATGCCCAGAAGCAAGTGGCCCTTCAACTAAAATGTGGTATAAGGCAGATGAATAACAAACTGGGGGAAACATTTAAATTTATAGAGTGGCAAGAAGGGGACAAAGTCCTCCATAGATTTTTCTCACACAAGAACCGTTCATTGGGTCCAAAGCGGGTGGGCCCAGTGGTCATCATGAACAAAGCTAGCCCTACAACATATCAGGTGGAGTTCAAGATAGGCAAAAAAATAATTTTAAAATGGTTCCACTCCACCCAATTAAAAGCATGGAAGGGGAAATAACTGCATGGTACTAATGCCTTCTTCTGTTTCTTTCATTTCAGGGCTAACTTCTACATCTAAAATGAAATTCATGTATCTACTGTTGTTCATATATGTATTTATAGGTATATAATTTTTATGGTTGTTAAAGAAAATGAACACGTGTACTGTAAGGTGAATGAAACATTCAGTCAGAATGAAAGTGATTGAGTTTACATCTATGGCCATGACTATGAATTGCCTAGTATGAAACTTCATGGGAAACTTCCGTGTATGTATTTAGTTAAAACAACTATTGCTATGTAGTCTGGAAGAGACCAATAATGAGTCTCTGATGACTTTTGCGGAAAATGATGAATGGGATCATGAGCTATCACTGAGGATGGAGAACAGCTTTCATGGGTTCAAAAATTACCAAATGAATGTGCGTGGCAGTTCAATAATGATTTATTGGAGCAGCGTTCAAACAAATTAGCAGTTTGGGAGCCAAGTAAATATGCCTACATTCAATTCAACATTCCCTCAACTAGGCCAGTTGGAAATTTTAAGGTTAAGGTTTCAATGGGTCTCCAGTACACAGTAAATAATGTAAGTGCGGGCTAACATGCCATCACTCAGATATCACATTCAATTAAAATGTTCTAACTGTACTCAGTTATGTTATGTTAACCATCCTGGCATGAATATGTTTTGTGCTAAAGGAAATGTGTCATTTCATATAAAATGTTCTGGGAGTATAAATATACAAGTGCATCCCAATGATACAGGAGATTGGCATGTGACAAGTTTGTATGGAATTCACAAAATAACCAATGTCGTGGTTGTCCCTAAACTATATCAGCAACGTTGGTCCAATTGTAAAAAGAGGTGTTACGCGATTGTTAATGGTTAACCCAATTTATGCTCTAAAGAAAAGAATCATGCCTGTCCCGATCTCATTATCTCAAGTGTGTGTAGAATGTATATGCTATGTCATCCCTTTGATATCTGGGTGGCACACATGGCTCAAGGGTGTGGTACCCAAAGCATCTCCTGTACGGGTACAAAAAAAGGGACACAGTAGCAACCATATTAGGAGGGGTGGGGACGGGGCTAGGTGTCCTCAATATGATAGATCAGCAAGTTTTAGCCAATAAGATTGGGGCACTAGGTTATGATATAGCCTCATTATCAAATCCCCTCACAACATCATTAAACCAGGTAAGTGTCCTAGAGTAAAAGGTTGCCAGCATTCTACCAGGCTGGATGCAGTTGCAGGAGGCAGACCACCTTAATCTGGTAGGAACTATTCACATCCTGCAATCAAATAGCTCTCTGGCAATGGCATGTATCCAGGCTCAGGAGTGGGTACTAAGTGTGGCTAAAGATATTATTAGAAATGGACTCAGTGGTTTAATCCCCATCGAATTACGAAATGGTCTCTGGGTGAATGCCACTAATGCCTTTGAACAACGTCACCAGGCATGGTGGAGACTAGTCAATTTCTCATATTTACCCAGCAATGACACTATTATAGCATATGTCCTCACCCTACTAGATGCCCAAGAGGAATGGATACACCCTTTGGTTTCCTTAGACTTAAACCTCAACAGATCAGGCCTGCTTACAATAGAACTGAGCAAATGGGTACACAGCAGAGATGGAGCCTACCAAGGTGTCAATTTACAATCCTGTTTAGAGGAGAAAGGATTGGGTTATACATGTGACTCTGGAGTTTTGGGGACCTCTCAAATCTGTCTAAATCCTAATGAGGGCAAATGTAACTATAAACTCCAGCCGCCCAACTTTAAGAGCTCAGTATTGGTATTGGTTAATTCTACGGGCATATGCTTGATAAACTGGTGCAGGGAGTTCTTAGTAAATTCCTATTTTAAGAGCTCTCATAACCCTTATATTAATTTGTGTCTATGTTCAGTTTCCTCCATCATATGTTGTGATGTTAATTTTATAAGGCTCCAAATCTCTGTTCAAACTGTGAACATACATTATGTTTTATATACTCATTTAGAGCCCATTCATTTAGGAGTTAATATTGCTGCCTTGAAACAGTTAATGTTGCACTCTGGCAGGAAGCAACATTTAAAGCGATTACAACAGGAAAGCCGGGAAGTGATGGTTACTGTGTATCACTCTTCTAATCAAATTAAGAGGATATTAAAAAGGATACGAAGTGACACTGCCTCTTTCCATTGGTGGGAAGGTTTATTGAATGGCTCAGTAGATTTTAATCAATTCTGGAACATCCTGTTACACCCAGTAATCATTGTGTTGGTCATCCAACCAGTGATTATTATTTACGTAACTACCCTCATGTTTTGGATAAAAAGAAAAATTAAATATAGTCACCGTTATATATCAGTTCCCTCTTTTAAACTAGTCTGAGTTTGTTGTGACGGCATTGAAGACAAAGTCCTTCATACCGTCAAGGAGAGGAAACTATACGGGAAAATTGTTGTGTCATATATTCTAACTGTGTACAATGTTATGGTATTGTTTTAAAATTTTGTTCACAATCACCATATTGAATTCTGTAAAGTTGTTGTTTGGAAGCCATGTTCATGATCTGGCAATTCTGCCCGGAGACAAAGGAGTATATAAGCTCCTCTCACAGGCTATAGGGTGCTGTCCATCATGGTGGCAGCCCGTGTCCGCATCCGTCATCAGTCATCATCAGCAGTTTCCGAGAGGCTACGCACCAACTTGTCCCTACTTACCTGAGATTGAGGGATCCTGGTTCAGCAGCCGATTTGATCCGTGTTCCTCCTATGAACATCACCATCACCAGGCACAGTAGAAGGTCTGGGTTGTCCATCACACCAGAGCTGAGGCAATCGGTCGTACACGACCCTCCCTCTGTGACTGACGTCTCATCTGTAACGTATAGATTTCTTGACTGTTAGTCCATAACATGTGTAAGGGCTAGAGGGCGTGGGCCCTTGATTCCAAACCACCGAGTGTTCTTTACTTAGCTGTACCCAATAAACTGTCTTCTCGTTCACCTTTAATTTTGTCCCTCTTCTGTTTCACTGAGACCATAGGTGACAGACGGTAAATCAGGGATTGCCAAACTTCTGTCATTAGCAGGGGTCCTTTAATAGCCCTTTTAATTCCCCTTTCCCCTAACAGGCTCAGCGGTACCCCAGTTCCAGGTGCCACCCCAGGGGGAACCTGTCACAGTATGTATCTAGGAACAAAGAAAGCAGGCCACACTTACATAATGGGGAACTGAATCCTGGAAGCAGTGACTCTGAAAAAGATTTGGGGATTATGGTGGATAATCAGCTGAACATGAGCTCCACAGTGTGACCCTGTGGCCAAAAAAGCTAATGTGATCCTGGGATACATAAATATGGGAATATCGCTTAGGAGTAGAGAGGTTATTTTATCTCTATATTTGGCACTGGTGCAACCACTGCTGGGATGCTGTGTCCAGTTATTGAATTGTGGGCACCGGAATGATTTAGCGATTAGAAAACATGCCTTATAGTGATAGACTCAAGGAGCTCAATCTATTTAACTTAATAAAGAGAAGATAAAGGGGTGACTTGACTATAGTCCGTAAGAACCTACATAGAGAAAAAATATTTAATTAAGGGCTCTTCAATCTAGCAGTGAAAGGTATAACATGATTCAATGGCTGGAAGTTGAAACTAGACAAATTCAGACTGGAAATAAGGCGCAAATTTTTAACCGCAAGAGTAATTAACCACTGGAACAACTGACCAAGGGTTGTGGAGGATTATCCATCACTGATGATTTTTAAATCAAGATTGGATGTTTTTCTAAAAGATCTGCTCTTGGAATTATTTTGGGGAAGTTCTATGGCCTGTGTAGAATCACAGAAGATTAGGGTTGGAAGAGACCTCAGGAGGTCATCTAGTCCAAACCCCTGCTCAAAGCAGGACTAACCCCAACTAAATCATCCCAGCCAGGGCTTTGTCAAGATGGGCCTTTCCATCCTTAGAGGTTTTTGATTCCACCACCTTCCTAGGTAACCCATTCCACCATCCTCCTAGTGAAATATTCCTAATATCCAAACCTAGATCTCCCCCACTGCAACTTGAGTCCATTGCTCCTTGTTCGGTCATCTGCCACCACTGAACAACCTAGCTCCATCCTCATTGGAACCTCCTTTCAGGTAGTTGATGGCTGCTATCAAATCCCCCCTCACTCTTCTCTTCTGCAGACTAAATAAGCTCAGTTCCCTCAGCCTCTCTTCATAAGTCATGTGCCCCAGCTCCCTAATCATTTTCATTGCCCTCCGCTGGACTCGAGCCGTTGATCACTACCCATTGAGCCCAACAATCTAGCCAGCTTTCTATCCACCTTATAGTCCATTCATCCAGCCCATACTTCTTTAACTTGCTGAAAAGAATACTGTGGGAGACTGTATCAAAAGCTTTGCTAAAGTCAAGATATATCACGTCCACCGCTTTCCCCATATCCACAGAGCCAGTTATCTCATCATAGAAGGCAATCAGGTTGGTCAGGCCTGATTTGCCCTTGGTGAATCCATATTGACTGTTCCTGTTCACCTTCCTGTCCTCCAAATGCTTCAAAATGGATTTCTTGAGGACCTGCTCTATGATTTTTCCAGGGACTGAGGTGAGGCTGACCGGTCTGTAGTTCCCTGGATTCTCCTTCTTCCCCTTTTTAAAGATGGGCACTATATTTTCCTTTTTCCAATTTTCCGGGACCTCCCCCGATTGCCACGACTTTTCAAAGATAATGGCCAATGGCTCGGCAATCACGTGGCTCGGCCAATGGCTCGGCAATCAGCCAACTCCCTCAGCACCTTCGGATGTATTAGATCCAGACCCATGGACTTGTGCATGTCCAGCTTTCCTAAATGGTCCTTAACCTGTTCTTTCACCACTGAGGGCTGCTCACCTCCTCCCCATACTGTGCTGCCCAGTGCAGCAGTCTGGGAGCTGACCTTGTCTGTGAAGACTGAGGCAAAAAAAGCATTGAGTACTTCAGCTTTTTGCACATCATCTGTACTAGGTTGCTTCCCCCATTCAGTAAGGGTCCCACACTTTTCCTGACCTTCTACTTGTTGATAACATACCTGTAGAAACCCTTCTTATCCCTTGCTAGCTGCAACTCCAATTGTGCTTTGGCCTTCCTGATTACACCCCTGCATGCTCAAGCAATATTTTTATACTCCTCCCTAGTCATCTGTCCAAATTTCCACTTCTTGTAAGCTTCCTTTTTGTGTTTAAGAACACAGAATATTTCTCTGTTAAGCCAAGCTGGTCGCCTGCCATATTTGCTATTCTTTCTGCACATCAGGATGGTTTGTTCCTGCACCCTCAATAAGGCTTCTTTAAAATACAGCCAGCTCTCCTGGATTCCTTTCCCCCTCATATTAGCCATAGGATTCTGCCCATCAGTTCCCTGAGGGAGTCAAAGTCTGCTTTTCTGAAGTCCAGGGTCCATATTCTGCTGCTCTCTTTTTGTCAGGATCCTGAACTGGTCACTGCTGCCCAGGTTGCCACCCACTTCTACGTTCCCCTACCAATTCTTCCCTGTTTGTGAGCAGCCCATCAAGAGTAGCACAGCCTGTTCTATACAAGAATTCAGACTAGATGATCACAATTGTCCCTTCTGGCCTTGGAATCTATGAATGTACTTACACTTAAACGTCCTCCCAGGATCAATAATAGTGGCTCTTCCTTCACTGACTAAATGCAAGTCGTTTTTGGATCATTCAGGGTAGATAGCCAGGCATTAGGTGGGAATATGACTCAATGGCAGGACTGAAAGCATGCGGGGCTGAGATTCTGTTTCTCAACAATATTTGAGTGTTGAAATATTTGAGCACCACAGTGACCATTAACTCAGCTGGGACAGTGCTTCAGAGAGGTGCAGTTCAACTTTCTGATCCTCTTCTCCCCTGTATTCTTTAGTCACCAGTACATATATGAGAGTCTGTGAACCTGCTTCTAATCCCCAAGAAGAGAATGGAGTCCTTCTGTGCCATTTCTTCTTTGACCAGCTCCAAGATCATGAAAGTCAACATGAGTGGCTAGTTATTTTTAGAAGAGTAGCTCCCACTAAAGATTCCAACGCTGATCATTTTACTGTTCACTTGCAGATGGCATTTGTTCAGTCTTGGGGGAATACTCTCAAGACAGGGTGAGATGATAGGAATATTGCCTTACATATTAAGATGACTTATGATTGTATTTAACACAAAGATCTGGTGATTCTTGGCTTCTTAGGCATCATGGTCAGTATAACTGAAGCTACTTTTCTTTCTAATTAAACAATGGTGATAGGATGTTATAAAATTTCCCATAAAGCTGTGATAGTCTGTTCTGTCCTCTGGTAGTCAGAGACACAAAGCGGGTGAGGGAATATCTTTTATTGGACCAACTTCTAAATAAAAGAGATTACCTCACCCACCTTGTGTGTCTGATATCCTGGGACCAACATGGCTACAACAACACTACAAACAACTATGACAGTCAGTTCATCTGCCACAAGACATATCAGAGGGTAACACTAACAACCAGACTCCTCTGGGTGGATCCTCTTTATCTGCAACAAACATCTGAGTATTATACAAGACTCCATAGGAGAAAGTAATGCAGCTAAACAATATGTTGGTTTAGATGAGACCTACCACATTATTTCTGACAGCTATACAATCTATGCACTTTTTAAAGTACAGTATCTGTAGAATTTCTTTGAAAGGGTCATTTGTATTCAGAAACCTTTGTGATTAAACTATATTAATGAATGGAAGTGTAACTTGTTTTCTTGAGCATAAAGGTTCTTCTAACAGTCATTCATAAAAGATTTCTGCACTATTTGTCAAGAATTAGCTATACATACTAGTTCCACAGATCCTGTCTTCCATTGCTGCTCATGTCTTTTCTATGATGCAGTATGCATGCATAAAGTGGCCTGAAAAAAGCACATAGGGACTATCATTACACCCATGTCTGCCCATCCCGTTCAGCAATTAATTCTGCTCCCAATGCCAAAAGTTAGTCTCTAAGGTGCCACAAGTACTCCTGTTCTTTTTGCGGATACAGACTAACACGGCTGCTACTCTGAAATCTGTCCCCACAGTTCACTCTAGCCCAACATCAGTTCTGTTTCCACATCTATTCTGCCCCCTTCAATCTCTCATCAGTTCTGCCTATGCACCAGCCTCAACTCTGCTCCTCATGCAACTCCTGATGTGAAGTGATGAGTTACCCCTGAACAGGAGTCTGATTAATCCACATGTAGTGATGAGTCATTCCTGTGCTAGGCTCCAGCCAATCCACAAGCCAGGAGCTGGTCTGGTGACTCTCAAGGCAGGTATATAAGGCCTGGTCTACACTAACCCCCCAATTCGAACTAAGGTACGCAACTTCAGCTACGTGAATAACGTAGCTGAAGTCGACATACCTTAGTTCGAACTTACTGCGGTTCAGACGCGGTCCACACGCGGCAGGCAGGCTCCCCCGTCGACTCCGCGGTACTCCTCTCGCCGAGCTGGAGTACCGCAGTCGACAGCGAGCACTTCCGGGATCGATTTATCGCGTCCAGACCAGACGCGATAAATCGAACCCGGAAGTTCGATTGCCAGCCGTCGAACTACCGCGTAAGTATAGACATACCCTAAGCCTCACAGGAGCAACAGCCCCTCAGTCTGCCCCCATGTCACTACAGGGCTTGGAACTCTCCCCTGCCTGATTGTGGTGACAGACTTCATAGGCCTTGGCCTGCTCGAGTCCTGCTCCAGCCTAGCTCCTAGCCCCACTCTTGCTTTGCTTTCAA